GTGGGTGTGGGTGTGGGTGTGGGTGTGGGTGTGGGTGTTGGTGTGGGTGTGGGTGTGTGGGTGTGGGTGGGTGTGGGTGTGGGTGTGGGTGTGGGTGTGGATGTGGGTGTGGGTGTGGGTGTGGGTGGATGTGGGGTGTGGGTGTGGGTATGGGTGTGGGTGTGGGTGTGGGTGTGGGTGTGGGTGGGTGTGGGGTGTGGGTGTGGGTGTGGGTGTGGGTGGGTGTGGGTGGGTGTGGGTGAGTGTGGGTGTGGGTGTGGGTGGGTGGGTGTAGGGGTGGGTGACAAAGATGTCAATACTACACACCCACACACACTCTCCTAAAGTGTTCCCACAAATCCACATGTCACCCAAACCACACCCAGTAGGAAATGCACTTGCTTTACTCGCACTCAAAATCTTGTTAAAACTCTCGATTTGAATGCAGAATTCTGAAATTATCTGATGAAGTCTTTATGAACCGAAGATCAAACGAGTCATAATATGCTCAAGAGACTCTAACTCATTTTTCCTTAATACGTGACGTGCATGTTTTATGAAATTAACAAATTGTGCACGTTCATTATTGGTAAGAGAAAAAATGCGTGATTTATTGTAATGATAGTATAGTTGAACGTGTCAGTTGCCCATTGAGATATAATGAAGCATTTGGAGTAGACAGTTAAAATAATACTAGTAAGTCATTTGTTAGAAGATGCATCTTGCCATTTGGAATATGTTGCTACTATACATGTTTATTATATGGAGAATGCAAGCAGTACCAAAATATCAATTTAATATGTATAATACGAATACCTATCCAGATGCATACTGTCTTTCATATTACAGAATGCAGTCTGCCCAAGATTCTAATTTTGACTCAACATCCTTTCTAACACATGAGGCAATGTTACTTTGTCTTCGGCCATCAGAAGAATACTATTCTATCAACAACTTTCTTTTTGAGAACATAAATGAACCTAGTTTTACATTCGCTGAATTAAAGGGGCAAAACATCACCAGTAATGAATTACTTTCATGGTCCGCTTCTATCGATTTGGCTGAACGATATCAAATTTTTTTGGACAACTATTCAAACATGTTGTCTGAAGAAGAGGTATTGTTTTATAATTGTACATCGTTATGGTTTGAACCTTTTTGTCGTTTCGCGTTTGAATATAGTATGGACGTATCGCTGGCTTATATTATTGACATTGCTCAACACGTACCGTTCATGCGTAATATTCAGAGAGTGACTTGCTACAAGCATCTATATTGTCAAACCAAGCTTTCATGTTTAGATTGGCGGGAGATTTGTGATGGTAAAAGCGATTGCTTAGATGATTCTGATGAGAACAATTGTTGGCAGCTTGAAGTTAATGAATGTGCTGATAATGAATATCGATGTCACAATGGTCAATGTATTCCAATTGAGTTTCTTCGTGATCATTTATCCAGTTCGGATTGTTTAGATGGAACAGATGAAGGTCCAGATTTGCATTCTTTCCTTGATTGCAATGGAATCTATGCGTTTCATTGCCAAGAACATATATGTCGGTCAGAAATACGCAAATCTTCATGTGGTTATGGGTCATGTGCAAATTCAGGAGCAGGGTGTGATATTGATCAAAGCAGCCGTTTACCAAGTGACTTTTGCTCTAATGCTACAGCCTGTCTAATGGAACTCGTCAATGTAGTCGATCATAGATGATGTTCCAAATTTTGTTTGAATGCTGATTGTATAAAAACTAAATGTCCAATGTTTTACGAGGTTCATTTTACTCCTCCACTTTTTGGACATGTACGTTTCTTGTATTCGAACAAAACCTTCACTGTTGGTAGATTTTATCCACCATACTACCTGTGTTACAATGAAAACCTTTGCCTAGACTTTCTTCCGTCCACAAAAAATATCGGTAATTTAACTTGTCGTCGTTTTAGCGAGTTACAATTGACTAATGAAAGTCTAGATAACAATTTGAACAAATTCGTTGAAAATGTCAAAAGACTATTTCGTAAATGTTTAATTGCTACTAATTTCACACATTTGTGTAATTATTCAACAATGTATAGGTGTGAAAATTCATCAAAATGTATTTCAAAGCAGCGTCTTCTGGATGGAATACATGACTGTCCGTTTGATGATGATGAAACATTTAATCGAAGTTGTTCACTTAGCGATACCCGTCAACGTTTCAGATGTGCACATAATGGTAATGAAAAGTGTTTTGCATCATTAATTGTTCAAGATGGAAAAATAGATTGCAAATATGGTGAAGATGAAATTGATAAGAACCAAGAAATGATAAAAAAGCACATCTATTTTCAAACGATATGTGATGGCAAAACAGAATTGTTGCCTGTATTGATTGATGGACAAAATGAAACAGATGAGACACTATGTCACAATTGGCCATGTAATAATACTTATTCTAGATGTGATCAATTTTGGTTGTGTAATGATGGAGCTGATGAAGTTAATTGTCCAACTTCAACTTGTCCTGCACTCCATCATGAGTGTGTTTTTCCAAATGATACATCTAAAGTGTCATGTTTACCAATTACTAAAGCACATAATGGTGTTATTGATTGTCTTGGTGGAACAGATGAACGAGGACGATATCGCGAATCTTCTTGGCCTTTTATCAGACATGATTTTCATTGTTGGAACAGTACAAAGTCTATTGATGTTAACGATCTATGCAATAGAAAGAAAAATTGCCCATTTAACGATGACGAAATATTTTGTAAAAAATTTGGATTTGAAGGTTTTCCACATTGTATGTTTTCAAAACCTACTCTAGTGGGTGTCGAAGAATTTCTTTGCAGTTTTGGCGACGACATTCGTCGAGATCAAAAGGTCTTCTTGAAACTACATAATGTGCCAACTTATCCACTACAACTAACAACTAACGAAACACCAACTACATCGTCGATTCGTATAAAATCGCGTTCAACTGAAGAGAATCCGACTTTCAGAGCATCATTTTTCGAACAAAGACAATGTAATCTAGGAATACCAGTTAGCCTTCGCGTAACTAATAATGCATCCTTATTATATTGCCTTTGTCCACCAAGTTACTATGGAGATATATGTCAGTATCAAAATCAACGTGTAAGTCTCACACTTCAAGTCCGTGCAACATCAGACTGGCGTAGTGTGTTTATTTTCCTGATCACTCTCATAGACAATGAAAGAAATATTGAATCTCATGATTATATCGAATACCTACCAGTTCGAGATTGTAGAAGTAAGTTTAATGTTTATTTGCTTTATGCTACTCGACCAAAAAATTCATCTAAAAACTATTCAGTACAAATCGATGCATTCAATCAATTAACCCTAAAGTATCGAGCCAGTTGGATTTTTTCGATTCGATTTTTGTTTCTACCTGTGAATCGTCTACCCGTGCTAGTCAAAGTTCCATTTACGAATGTGGAATCTGTACATAACTGCTGGCCACCATGTATTCATGGTAAATGTTTTTACTATATTAATGAGCAAAGATCGAAATTTTGTCATTGCGAACCCGGTTGGTCAGGTCCTCAATGCAACATTAAATATAAATGTGATTGTGCTCCATTCTCACTTTGCATCAGCAGTTCAATCTGTTTATGTCCACACAATCGTTTTGGTCCTCAATGTCATCTGTCTCGATCGTCGTGTCATTCTGAATCATGCATAAATGGTGGGCAATGTGTATCTAAAGATGTGAGATATGTATCCTCATCTTTTGTTGAAAAGTCCATGTGTGTTTGTCCTCAAGAATATACCGGGAAACGTTGTGAGCAGCAAGTGGGTTTAACTCGAATTGATATATCGTTCCACCCCCAACTGAGTATTTCATCAGTGTTACTAGTTCATTTCATCGCCGTTCAAAAGGAAAAAGCGCATAATAGAACGAGCATCATGAAAAAAATTCCGTTCGATCAATATTCGTTGGTAGTATACACTTCAACATCATTCAATATTGCCCTTGCACAAATATTCGATCAATATCATCTAATTATTCTTCGAGAACGAGCCATTATTTCATCAAGTCTTTCTACAGAAATAACTCCCTCACATCAGTGCCGAACTATTCATGAGTTCTTCAATGAGACATTGGTTAATCAGCATTTGTTAAAGCGCATCAAATATTATCACATTCCATGTCAACAACAATCTGGATTAGTTTGCTTCTATGATGAAGTTCATTTTTGTTTGTGTACTCTTGATCGACAAGCCAACTGCTTTGAATTTGATCACAATATGATCTATGACTGTGGCGGAGATAGTTTCTGTCAAAATGAAGGTCACTGTTTTCGAGATAATCCAAAATGTCCAACATCGTCAATGTGTTTCTGTCGTCAATGTTATTTCGGATCAAGATGTCAATTTTCTACTAAAGGGTTTGCACTTTCGTTGGATACTATTTTAGGCTATCACATTCGTTCGAACATCAGAGTTAGCCAACAACCTACTATTGTGAAAATTGCAATAGCACTTACCGTAATTATACTTTCAGTTGGATTCATAAACAGTTTCCTTTCTTATGTAACTTTTCGAAGAGAAGAAGCCCGGCGTGTTGGGTGTGGTGTCTATCTTCTTGCATTAACATTTACATCCGCGATCACCGTGATGGTACTTTCATTGAAGTTCACGTTTCTTTTAACATCACAAATGGGCTTAATAATTAATGGTTCATTTTTGCATAAACAATGCGCATCCGTCGATTTTCTTCTTCAAGTTTTTCTTTGCACTGGTGATTGGCTTAGTGCTTGTGTTGCCGTTGAGCGAGTAGTTAATATTTTAAAAGGCGTCAATTTCGACAAATCAAAAAGTAAACAAGTGGCTACTTGGATGATCTTGAGCATCTTTTTTTTCACGATATGCACATATATATATGATCCACTAAATCGTCATTTAGTGAACGATGAAGAGGAGCAACGCTCATGGTGTGTTAGTCAATATTCATCATCTGTACAAATCTTTGATTGGTTTTTGAATATCTTTCATTTCTCTGTTCCATTCGGGATTAATTGTATCTCGGCTATAATCATTGTTATTATAGCAGCCCGTACTCGTTCACGGTCTCAGAAAACAATGTCATTCAAAGGGCATTTATACAAACAGCTTCGGCATCACAAGCACTTGTTTATTTCACCATCTATCCTTGTGCTACTAGCGGTTCCCCGTCTAATAATATCATTTCTGTCAGGATGCATGAAATCACCTCGAGATTCTTGGCTTTATCTCATAGGTTACTTTCTCTCATTCATGCCATCAATTATGACATTTGTGGTATTTGTTCTACCATCAGAGGTATACAAGAAAGGATTTCGTCAATCACTTCAATGTATTTGGCAAAAATAAACTCATATCTTTCTATCAATGTTATGGGCTTCGTATTATTGCAAAGTAAAATACTTTCAATGATCTTTTAACGTTCTATTAAAGAAAGAGGAGAAACCGTTGAAGAGATAGGCATACTTAAATGTGTCGTGTCTTGATTCCTTTCGGTTACCTCAAAATAACTTTACATCTGGAACTGATTTCAAATAGATTGAAGATTAACTAGGTTAATTCCATCTTTTCTCATTCTGAGTGATACATCCTCAAAATTGAATTTTAGGACAATCTCTAGAGTGTGGATGGGGTGTGGGTGTCGGGTGTAGGCGTAGTAAGTGTTCATGTTAACCCAGACCTAGATCTACCCGTACGTATACCCTTAGTTGCCTATTATATTCGTTTACTATTATAAAGAAAACAAAATCATGGCATCAAAATATGCACTTAATCAAGCATTTAAATTTTAGAAAATTACAAAAATCGTAACAAGCTTTGCCAAACGTTTATTCGAATTAGAATCAGCACCTGATGTTGTTCAACAGATTTTTTTTCTTTGTACTATGAATATTTGAATTTTAAACAAAATATTTTTTTCTTTTTCTTCCTTAATTTTGAAACGTTTTGAAATAAACCAAAAAACCAAGACAGAAAACATCTTCAATGCACTCAAGATATATTAAACTTGTTGATGGAAATTTTTCATGGTTTTTGTTTCATTCGAAAACAATTTAGTTTTTTCTTTATTCATTGAAACATATGACAAACAAAAACAAAAAAGAAAAAAAGTCGTTTGTTTTATTATTTTGTTTAGATACGGAAAGTATTTACTGTTTGTGGAAAAAATCAAATTGATGAATACCGATTAAATTATAATGAATATAATCCGTCTGATATTCGTGGAGCGTCTTTTATGTACGAATCTATTTGTATGAAATTCAAAAATGAAACCGAATTTAATTTAAAGTAATGTTTAACTCCTATCTTGAAAATCCATTATTGAGATGTCTATTATTCGGTAAAGCCTATTTTATTGGATTTTAACGAATAATGCTGTCGTGTTACAAGATCAGTTGATATTGGGAGAGTCTCTTGGTCTTACGATTCCATTGAGTCAATACTATTAGAACAGAAAAAAGAAAAAGAACTGTTTTTCAATTCTATTTCATTATTATTAATTTTTAATAGATATCTTTATCATTTTTAAAAAGTAAATTACCATCAGAATGTTTTCTGTTTCATCTCAAGATCATTCAAAGTTCAATTAATGCTGCTTAACTAGGGCGTGGGTGTTGCTCTTTTGATACAGCCACATCTACAGCCACCCACACCCCAAATTTTTCTAGCTGCGAAATGATCACCAAAAAACAAAAGTGTTTTGATCACAAAGAAAACATACATCTGATCACCAAATTAATAACTAGTAGAAAAAGTCATAATTATATGAAAAAATACTTTCAATTACACAAAAAAGCATCAGAAAAAATATATCCATGAAAAACACAAGAAATAATAGAAGCACACAGGCAGTATTAGACACAAATCATAATACCAGCTCTCCTTCAACTTTCTAATTCTTCCTACGAGTCGTCATGCATCTCTTGCTACTACCATGATCAAGTAACGGCTAAGTCCATCTGGTTACCTTCCGCACTTTCACCCTCGCCCTCACCCACAGTTACGACCACACCCGTACTTTAAAATTCTAAAACACCTCTACCTTTCTGCTATCTACTATAGGCGTACCATTTACTAAATCAATCAAAAAAACTTCGTTCTATTAACTGTTTCGTAATAAATAAATTCGGCGATCAAATGTATGTTTTTTTTATGATCATTTCGCAGCTAGACAAGTTTGGTGATCAAAAGACATTTTCCCCATTCTTTTATGCTTTTATTGTTTCTTTTTGTGATACGTTAGGATATACGGAGACATTTGAGAGTCAAATGTTCGTTTTGCTAGAGAGACATTCGATGTATGCTTGTAATTCTGAGAAAAGTCTTAAAAAGAAGATTTACAATAAAGTATTACAAGAAAAAAATCAAATGTTGTTATTTTTTTCTACATAAAAGAATAAGTAGACCAACAAGTGACAGGTAAACACAACAGTAAGCGATTTTCAGTAAAACAAATGAAGGAATTTTACAAAAAAGAATGATGTAGGAGGATTACGAGTGGAGGAGTAGTTGATATTGATGAAATAGGTGGATGTATTATTGGTGGTTTGAGTTTATCGAGACGCATAATTAGTGCGTTGAAATCTATTGTCAATATAATGCTTGTATACAATTGACTGTTTTGTCAGTTAACAAGCAAATAAAGAATAGAGCATCCGTAGAAACAATTAAAGATAAAATTGTTTCAAATTTGAATACAAATAAGATAAATAGTTTGTCTGATGATCGTTTATTTTGAGAAATTCGACTATCATTTATTACATATTAGTCATTCTTCGTATTTCATGCTAGTATAATGTAGATTGAGATATGTGAGTTCCATATTTTAGCCCCAAGAGACTGCGCTAACAAGCATTTTCATTTAATTTTAGCAGTGTTGACAATAGAGATTTATTTTCTCAGGTGCTCATTTGATGTATTTCAGGCGAAAGTTCATGCTGAGAAATCTATAAATTCAAAACTGCAATGTATTCGGACATACTTTTGAAAGATTTATTTATTCAAATTTTTTAGATAATATAAAATGCACTTAATTTTCGAGATGTTTTCAAAAAAACCTTCAGGACAACCCAAATTTGAATGTAAGTTACGCGTGAATTATTTGCAACGAAATTCATTTCATGAATTAGTATCATACATTTTTTGAAGAAAATTTCTCGATGTTAACACAAGAAACTTCAAAGAGAGACACATATTCTGAAGATAGATCTGCCTTCAATTCATCATAAATGGTTAACTTTTATCATATTATCAGTTACTTTGAGAAGTTTTTTGTATTGTTTTCAATAAAAATATCATATAAATCGTCAGAAGATATTTTCGAAGAAGAAAATTATAATGAAATTGAACAGAAAGAATTATGAAAAGCATTTCAATGTGAAAATTTAGAATTTTTTACTATTGTTTGAACAGAAAACAAAATTCTATCGAATGTTCGTAATTGATATGAAAACTACACATGAATCTATTTTTTAAATCTAACTCTATATTTTCCTAACAAATGGCCAGAATCACTGAATTATTGATATTGGAAACATCGGTAACAGAAATTTTTTTTTCTTCATCTCTTTACATCAACGAGTTGCTTTCGTCTAATGTGCATCATGTTCAGTTGTGCTGGTATATTTCATAAGAAGAGTGTGGGTGGGTGTGGGTGTGGGTGTGGGTGTGTGGGTGTGTGGGTGTGTGGGTGTGTGGGTGGGTGGGTGTGGGTGTGAGTGTGGGGGTGTGGGTGTGCGTGGGTGCCATTTCTTTGTGTACTCACACTCACACACCCACACACCCACACCTACACCCACACACCCACACCTACATCCACACTCACACCCACACCCACCCACACATCCACACATCCACACCCACACCCACCCACGCTCTTCTTATGAAACTTCCTAGCTATTTATTTCAATACTCATTGGATTTGTGTTTCACGTAACTGGTAGATTCGATCGATACCAAGAAATTTCGCAGAGATCAGTAGTAATCTGATATTAGAATTGTGCTCATATATGTCTTTCTGTATACATATTTGACACTTCAACTACATCATGTGGTAAGATAGACCTGACACGAATGGCTATATGACTATCATATGATTTTGACAGATGGTAGAGTGGAGAAAGACGAAGGAAAATGATCAATGTAACTCTTTCTCATTCATCCAGTATATCTGTTTTGTGTTCTCATCGATAAAAACCAAATATTTGAAAATATGATATACTAATGATCGATGGTCAGGAAGATCATTGGGTAACCTTAATGAGATTCAAACTTGAGAAAATTTCAATAAGTCGATCAAGTTGAGATT